TTGCTAAAGTTACACCTTCATAATGTCTAGAAGGTACACTGCTGAGGAGGCTTATGATATACTAGTAGCCGACTCTGACGCCACAGACACTGCCTCTGAGAGTGGTGATGAGACTGTGCCAGATACTGCAGGGCCCTCTGTTGTAAGCGCCGAGTCTCCTGAGCTGGCTCATGACGTTGGTGACTGGGAACCCCTAAATGATTTCACGCCTGACATCCCAGTATTTACTGGCAGTCCTGGAATTCAGTTGGACGTCACTAACTACAGTGCACTGGATTTCATGCAGATATTCCTGGGGGATGATATTTTAGGGGATATAGTCACCCAGACCAACCTTTATGCTGTGCAGTACCTGACTCTTAATGATCAGAGTCTCATCGCCAGGCAAGGGAGTTGGTACCCCACCAGTGTGCCAGAATTTAAAAAAATTTGGGGCACTAACAATGCTAATGGGCATTATTAAAAAACCCAGCATCAGGATGTACTGGTCCAGAAATCCTGTATGCAGCACCCCTATTTACTCCCAGACCATGAACAGGTCCAGATATGAAGCAATCCTTTGCTTTTTACACTTCAGCGACAATTCAAAGTGCCCCCCAAGAGATAATCCTCAATACGATAATCTGTCAGGGTTTTACCTGGGTTGGGAGTCTGTAGCGCAGATATGTTGCTCACCCTTGCAGGTAGCCACAGGCCAAGGTGGTCAGTTAAGAATTCACCCGGCCTGTGGGTCTGTGCACGGGGGCTGTGCAGGATGAAGTACCAAGTCGCAGGACAGGCAAGGGCTCAAACAGGATCGTCAAAGGATAGCTGAGGTCAAAGGATGCCAGAGGACAGGAACAACGAGGAGTAGCCGAAGTCAAGGGATGCCAGAGGTCAGAGTAAACGTAGTCAGAAGCCGGGGTCAATAATAAGTAGCAGATCAAATGACAGGAACACTGGTACGAAGCACACAACAGGATCAAAGACTTGATCCTGATCACAGGGCGAGGCTGAGTTTAAATACCCTGCTGATGTCTGATCAGAGTCAGGTGAAGCACAGCCAAAGTCAAGGTACAGCCCCCAGAGTAATAGACAAGCCAGGATGAACAGGACCAGAATGACTTGTGGAATATAAAAGCTGCTGTGGCTCAAAGGTAGGAAGCAGGACCAGGACTGCGAAGTTCCCCGTTTCAAGTCCCTTATTGGGAACTCCTTGGGCGACCATGTCTGGCCGTCTGTCTGCTGCGGTGAGAACTGTGACATAATCTCTATAAGATTCGCCCCCTTATTTCCCACTTCAACAGACAGTTTGGCTCAATGTACACCCCACAAAAAAATATTTGTGTAGATGAGTCTCTAATGAAATTCAAGGGCAATATATCCCAGCCAAAAGATCCCAGTATGGGATAAAGTTGTATAAACTTTGTGAAAGTGCCAGACAGCTACTTTGATCCCCCAGGTTGCCTGGATATCATTGGGACGAGTGGAAAAATCGTATGGGATTTAATTAACCCATTGCTAAATAAGGGGTATCATTTATTTATAGACAATTCCTCTTCTTAGGATTCTTTATTGCTTTGAAACTGTAGCCGGCAGCACTATCTGAAAGACACGTGTCGGTTTCCCAAAAGCCCTGGCACAAAAAAAGCTCAAGAGGGGGGAAACGGCTGCTCTCTGCCAGGATGAACTGCTGGCTCTCAAATTCAAAGATAAGAAGGAGGTGTTCATGCTAACATCTATGCATACTGAGCACACTCGAAGAGTTGCAGTTCGTGGCAGACAAGAAATTAGACGGGTGCCTGTCTGCATTAGGCAGTATAACAAGCACATGGGGGGAGTTGACCTGTCCGATCAACTGCTGCAACCCTATTTAATACTGAGGAAGACAAAAAGCTTGGCATTTACCTTATGCAAATGGCGACTCACAATGCCTTTATTCTGTACAAAAAGGCAAATGCTGGCATTAAATCCACATTTCTGGATTTCCAGTTTCAGCTTATTTCTGGGCTGCTCACTGAGTGCCACAGTGGGGAATGATCAGCTGGGCCTAGCAGCAGAAGGGTTGAGACAGGTCACTTCTGTTTCCGGATACCACCAACCCCCAAAAAGAAGACACCCCAGAAAAGGTGCAGGTTGTGCTACCAGAGGGGCATAAGGACGGAAACCAGCTTTTATTGTCCTGATTGCTCCTCTCAGCCCGACCTTTGTATTGGCAACAGTTTTAACGTTTTTCACACCCAGGGATAATAAGTTGCACATTGTTTATATATATATACACACACACATTTTTTTTTTGTTATTATTTAGTTCTTCCATTTTAAAGTTGCTGACAATGTTTAGGGCCAAGGAGGCTGCTGCAATTCTTACCTCTGACTCTGATTATTTCATTATTTTTATTTTTCTAATTTTAGTTAGTTAATTAGGGTGCTTGGTAATTCATAGGAAATTGGGGAGTTTAGTGTTATGCTAGGGGTGAAAAGATTTTTGAAAAATAGAAAAAAATTATTTTATAACATTATTTAGTTAAAGTTCTTGTGTAAAAAGTAAAAAATGCTTAGGAAGTTATGAATTCTATCAGTAGACAGAGTTGACAGGCAGTGCCCCAGAGTTTGATGAAGGTTAATACGGTAATTAATACCTTCTTTAAAAAATGGTAGGCCTTTGTGGGGTAGTTTGAATTATCAGCCTGCTAAGATGCTCTAAAATTGCACATGTACCCAGCGTCAAAATTCAAAGTTTAAAAAAACAAACAAACTGATATGGCTTAGTCTCCAATGTGCACCTTCAACATCCACATATCCCTGAAAAAGGTACACATGGGGGTATTGTTGTACTAAGACGACATAGCTGAGCAACATAATAGGTGTTATACTGCCGTAGCACACATATGGTTTGCAAAATATACAGTAACATCTCCAAATGTATGTCAAAAAGGCAGAAAAAAATGCTAATTGCTACTAGACTTGGTACAAACTAGCAAAAAAATTATCCTACGCCAGGGTTTAAAATATGCCATTTGAAATACCCTGGAGTGTCTACTTTTACAAATGGTAGGCCTTTGTGGGGTTTTTTCGAACTGTCAAACTGCTATAATGGCCCAAATTGAAACATAGGCCCATCAAATCCGTCTCTCAAAATTCTACTGTAAATACCGAAATGGACAGGTCTCCTATATGGCATTCTAGCTTCGCGAAATAGTGCCAAAGACATACAATGGGGTTATCATTTTACTCAGAAGACTTAGCTGAGCATAATTTTGCGGCTTTGATCATAGTGACACATATAAAATATACAAAATGCCCAGCAAAAAGTAATGCAGTTGTAAAAAATTTCTAAAATTATTTTTTACCACAAACTTTGACATACATTGGTGAAAAAATGGGGGCATGTTAAGGCACAATATGCAGCATATGAGATACCCTGGAGTGTCTACTTTTACAAATGGTAGGCCTTTGTGAGGGTTTTTCCAACAGTCAAACTGCTATAGTGGCCCAAATTGAAACATAGGCCCATCAAATCCGTCTCTCGAAATTCTACTTTAAATACTGAAATGGACAGGTCTCCTATATGGCGCTGTAGCTTCACAAAATAATGCCAAAGACATACGATGGGGGTGTCATTTTACTCAGAAGACTTAGCTGTGCATAATTTTGGGGCTTTGATTACGGTGGCACATGCCAAATATACAAAATGCCCAGCAAAAAAGTAATGCGGATGTAAAAAATGCCCCAAATTATTTTTTACCACAAACTTTGACATACATTGGTGAAATAATGGGGGCATGTTAAGGCACAATATGCACCATATGAGATACCCTGGAGGGTCTACTTTTACAAATGGTAGGCCTTTGTGAGGGTTTTTCCAACAGTCAAACTGCTATAGTGGCCCAAATTGAAACATAGGCCCATCAAATCCGTCTCTCGAAATTCTACTGTAAATACTGAAATGGACAGGTCTCCTATATGGCACTGTAGCTTCACGAAATAGTGCCAAAGACATACAATGGGGGTGTCATATTACTCAGCAGATGTAGCTGAACACAAAATTACCGTATATACTCGAGTATAAGACGAGTTTTTCGGCACATTTTTTTGTGCTCAAAAAGCCTCCTCGTCTTATACTTGAGTCAAGTTCTGTATTATGGCAAATTACATTGCCATAATACAGACCATGACATGTTGGGGGCCGGAGCAAGCTGTTACTTACCTTTACAGCTGCTCCGGTCAGCTCCCAGCACCTCCGCGCGGCTCCTCTGTGCAGCTCCCAGTGTAAATCTCGCGAGACACGCGGGCCGCGAGATTTACACTGGGAGAAGACCGCGAGTAGGTACGGACCGGTAATTGTTTCCGGCCGTCCCCCTGCACAGCCGCCCATGCACAGCCCCCCTGTCCCTGCACAGCCCCGCTGCCCCTGCACAGACCCCCGTGCCCCTGCACAGACACCCCTGCCCACCCCCCAAAAAAAAGTTGAAAAAAATTAAAATATTAATATAATAATAAAAAAAATAATAAAAAATGTCAAGTTGATGGGAGTCTGACTCCCTTTTCTAACACCCTGTATATAATGCAGAGTGTGTGCATTATATACACACACACACACACACACTCTTCATTAAATACATGGAGTCAGAAAAGGGAGTCAGACTCCCATCAACCTGAGTCACCCTCTAAAATGCAGAGTGTGTGTATATATATAATGTAGAGTGTGTGCATTATACACACACACACACTCTACATTACATGCACACACACTGCATTTTAGAGGGTGACTCAGGTTGATGGGAGTCTGACTCCCTGCATTTAATGCAGAGTGTGTGCATTATTTACACACACACTCTGTATATAATGCAGAGTGTGTGTGTGTGTGTGTGTGTGTGTGTATATAGTGCACACACTGCATTATATACAGGGAGTCAGAAATTGGAGTCAGACTCCTATCAACCTGAGTCACCCTCTAAAATGCAGAGTGTGTGTATATAATGTAGAGTGCATTTTAGGTGCAAGAGGGTGACTCAGGTTGATGGGAGTCTGACTCCCTGTATTTAATGTAGAGTGTGTGTGTGTGTATATATAGTGCACACACTGCATTATATACAGGGAGTCAGACTCCCATCAACCTGAGTCACCCTTTTGCACCTAAAAGGTAGGCAACAGGAGGGTGACCTAAATATTAACTAGAGTATTTTTAATATTAAGTGTGTGTGTGTGTGTGTGTGTGTTTGTATGTATGTATGTGTCTGTCTGTAATATGTATGTGTGCCTGTCTGTTTCTATGTGTCTTTTTATGAAAGGCTTGTGTGTGTCTGACTGTGTCTATCTGTATGTATGGTATGTGTCTTTGTATGTGTGTGTGTGTGTCTGTATGTATGTGTGCCTGTCTGTCTGTGTGTGTCTCTGTATTATGTGTGTCTCTGTATGTATGTGTGTGTGTTATTGTCTGTCGGGGGGTAAGAAGGAGGGAGGGAGGGGCCAGTGGTCCCACTTACCGGTTCTCCGGTGCAGTGCAGGTGTTCTCCGGTCTCTCCCACTCATCCTCTGCAGCCTCTGTGGGTGGTCCAATGACTGTTGATATCACCGATCTTCTTTTCTCTTGCACACCGGGCGTAACGCTGCGCATGCAGTAACACTGCGTGTATAGTATGAGCCCCAACACAGGCTGCTCTATGCAAACATAGTTGGCATTCTTTTTCAAAGTCTTTTTTTTTATCCTGTTAGGAATAGATCCCAATACTTCTAATCCCGGACCAAAACAAAAACGCAGGTCATACGAAGCTGGTTTCAAGCTCAAGGTTGTGTCAAGAGCAGAAGAAAGCAATAACAGTATTGCAAGTAGGGAATTTTGTGTTGGTGAAAAACAAGTAAGGGAGTGGAGGAAAATGAAAGCTGACTTGGAAAAGATTCCAAAGGCAAAAAAAGCTTGACGTGGTTTAACGACTTCATATGGGGCTCTAGAGACTGAATTGCATAAATGGGTTATGGAGTGTCGTCAAAATGGTTACTGCGTAACACGCATGGGAATTCGCTTACGTGTCCTTCAAATGGCTAAAGATGAAAAATTAAAAGCAACAGGCATTGAAAATGTTGTTGCGTCAGCAGGATGGTGTACCCGCTTCGTGAATAGGTTTTCCCTATGTTTGCGGCAAAGAACAAAGATTTCACAGAAGTTGCCAAAAGACCTTGATGAAAAATTGATGTCATTCCATTCATTCATCATAAAACAAAGAAGGATCCATAACTATGACCTGGGAGATATTGGTAATATGGATGAAACACCTATGACCTTTGATCTTCCAAGCAACAGAACTGTGGTAAGTTTGGGAGACAAAACTATTTTACTCAGAACCACAGGAAATGAAAAAAAACATTTCACAGTCGTTCTGTCATGTTTGGCTAATGGAACTAAGCTACGGCCTGTCATTATTTTTAAAAGAAAGACCTTGCCTAAAAAGGTAAAATTCCCACCATGAATTACAGTGCGCGCACATGTTAAAGGCTGGATGGATGAAGACGGAACAAAAAAATGGCTGGAAGAAATTTGGAACGGACGACCAGGGGCAGCCTTAAAGAAAAAAACATCATTGCTAGTTTGGGATATGTTCAGAGCCCACACATCTGATGACATAAAAAAATTGGCAAAGTCTTCTCAAGTTACTTTGGCCGTTATTCCAGGTGGGCTTACATCTGTATTGCAGCCCCTAGATGTGTGTTTAAATAAACCTTTCAAAGACCGTGTGCGAAAGAGGGGTCATGAATGGATGTCATCTGGTCAACCCCGACTGACAAATGTTGGAAATTTGATGAAGCACGAATTGATAGCAAAATGGGTTCGTGATGCATGGGAAGAGATTCCACAGGATATGGTGCAACGCGCCTTCAAGAAATGTGGCATTAGTAATGCTATAAATGGCAGAGAAGACAGCGCTTTGTATGAGGACAGCAGTGATGGTGATGACTGCGAACTCAGTGATGATGACAATGTCTACGCTGATAACCTCACACCAGCTACAGTTGAAGCTCTGTTTGGACATACAGATGATGAGGAATCCAGTTTTGAAGGATTTTAACTCATTTAGCTGTTTTAGCTTAGTTGTTTTTTGTACTGTTAAAGTTATTGTTGATACCATATTGTTTTTGTTGACCCTCTTTTTCCCTTACAGAGCTAGTTTACTGTTTTTCTTTGAAATAAATATTCAAAAACCTTTAACCTATTGATGCCTCAATTAGTGTAATTTTATTGGTATCTATTTTTATTTTTGAAATTTACCAGTAGCTGCTGCATTTCCCACCCTAGTCTTATACTCGAGTCAATAATTTTTCCCATTTTTTTGTGGTAAAATTAGGGGCCTCGGCTTATATTCGGGTCGGCTTATACTCCAGTATATACGGTAGGTTTCGTACAGGAATAGCACACACTAACTTTACGAAATACACATGAGAAGTTCTTTGTTATAATTTTGTGTGTCAAAAAACAAAAAAATACCTAAATTTTAGTCCAATATTTTACGTAAAAAGTGTCAAAATAACGTTAGTTAAATAGCCTGTGATGTTTTCTTTATATAAATATATACTTTTGTGTGGCAATTTTGTTTTCTTTTATGGCTATTAAGCTTACAAGACAAACATACCAAATTCTAAAATCGCTCCACATTAAAAGTTTATTTTACTCCTTTTTGTGAGCTGTAACTACCAAAAAAAACTGAAAATCCCAGACACATTATATATTCTGTAAATCAGAACAACTAAATGAATTTATTTTTAATTACTTTCCTTAACCTGCACAAATTCTGCACACATTATTATTGCAAAAACTGAAGAAAAAAAACAGTATTTTTAAATTTTTGGGCATTTATTTGTGTTTTTTTATAATAAATAAGAATTTATATATGTATATGTTACATCAATTTAAAGCCCCTTTTGTCCTTTTAAAAAACGGTATATAATGTGTCAGTGCAATAAAATAGTAAAAGGCAAATTGCAGTTGAACGCAAACAGCAAAAAATTGGAAAATTTCTTGTGTCCTTAAAGCGGCACTGTCATGCCGAATCTCGTTTTTTTTTTTAACCACCCTCCCGCCTCCACTACATCCAATTGACCCACTAGTCACCCCCAAATGCCCCTAAGCCCCCCACATTACCTATTTTTTATTCCTTATTTTCTGCCCTGATCTATATTCAGGGCGCCGCCATCTTTGTGTGGGTAGGTGAAGTCCCTGTGGGACACGTCATCAGCCCACACTAGATAGCCTGTGAGATTCCCACACATGCCCAGTGAAACACCTGGACATGCGAACGGGAATTTCATCTATTCATTCATTCATCAGACAGACGAATGAATGAATAGAAAGATCAGCCGAACAAACTAACACAATGTATCAGTGTTAGTTTGTTCGTTCAGTTTATTACAAGGAGGGAGCTACCGGCACGCAGCTCCCTCCTTGTAATATGTAAAGATTGAAGCAGCAGGGAGCAGTGCTCCCCGCCACTTCATAACCCCCCCCCAGGCTCCCCTCTCACTCTATGGGGGTCAATATGACCCCCATAATAGCACAAGGGAGCTTAAAATCTCCCAAATGCCCCTACTCGCTATACTGTGGCTGCTCACTGTTGAAAAAAAATGACATAAATTACAATAAGGGGGGGCGGACCTATTGTCCTCCCCCCCTCACCCACCCTGAGCGGCGGGTGGGGGCCATGAAGATAATGAGGGGGGGGGACATACTGTCCTCCCCCTGGCCCCCACCCCTGAGCGGTGGGTGGGGGCCCTTATAAAACAATAAGGGGGGGGGACCTACTCCCCCCCTGGCCCCCACCCTTGAGTGGTGGGTGGGGGCCCTAATAAAACAATAAGGGGGGTGACCTACTGTCCTCCCCCCCTGGCCCCCACCCCTGAACGGTGGGTGGGGGCCCTAATAAAACAATAAGGGGGGGGGGACCTACTGTCCTCCCCCCGGCCCCCACCCCTGAGCCTTATAAAGACTTGCCCCGTCCTGCAATTAGGCTTAGAACACTCTGATTGGTGGGTTTAAGCCAATCAGAGTGCTCTGAGTCATTTTACACAGCGTGGGAAAATTCAAAAGAACTTTCCCATGTAAAATGACACAGAGCACTCTGATTGGGTGGCTTGAAAGCCACCCAATCAGAGTGCTCTGAGTCATTTTACACAGCGTGGGAAAATTCAAAAGAACTTTCCCACGCTGTGTAAAATGACACAGAGCACTCTGATTGGGTGGCTTCAAGCCACCCAATCAGAGTGCTCTGTGTCATTTTACACAGCGTGGGAAATGACTCATAACACTCTGATTGGTTATGAGTCATTTTACACAGCGTGGGAAAATTCAAAAGAACTTTCCCACGCTGTGTAAAATGACACAGAGCACTATGATTGGGTGGCTTGGATTGGATTAATTTTTTTTTGCGCTCGTTTTTTTTTGTTTTTTTTTTTTTTTAAAGTGCGACGGGTATAATGGATTTTTATTTGGCCTTTTTGGGGGCTGAAGAATGAAGATTTTAGAAAA